GTCTAATCTCTTCTTTTTTTCTTTTTTTTTTAACATTTCTCTCTTCCCTTTTTTTGTGTCTGTGATTAGGCAGGTATCAGGCTTGGGCAGTCACCCCAACATGCTTCCCAGCACATGGATGGGCAGAACACTGCCCACCTTCATCAAGCGGGCAGACCTCTACAGTTCATGTGCAGAAGCAAATGAGCCTACCAAATGTCTCAATGCTATCAAAGGGGAGAGAAATCTCTGCTCCTGATTCTGCTCACCTGGCCCTATACAGTCCTGATCTTCTCTTGAATCAGCTGTGGCACTCAATAAAAGCTCCTCCAGAAGAAAATAATCTGGGGTTTTCCGCTGTATAGATTTCTGCAGGTCTGCTGAGTTTTATCAGCTCATGGAGGGATTGAGGACCAGAGGGAAAACAGAAAGCAAGGGGAATACACAGCGAGGAGTAGAGAGGAAAATCCCCAACAAGGGACACAAACCTGCAGTACCACTACTCCACAGCAAACGGGATGCTGCCTTCCTGCGGGAGAGCCCCATATCTTCTGTCAACAAGCAAAGGCAGTTCCTGGATTTTAGGAGCTGTTTCAACTACAGTTCACTTTCGTACCTATGACCACTGCGGTACTCCAGGAAAACTCTAAATCCTACCGTATTCAGAGGTAGAGAACAGCACGACCTGTCTTTGCTTGTGATGTGCATCCTGGCAGAGGGGAGCTGCTACCAATGTCCCCGGTCAGAGACCCAACCTTTACCACTGTGGTGAGCAGGTATGGTGCAGCATCCACTGCAATATGCACCTTTTGTAAAGACACAGGGGAGCCCAACATCCCTATTGCACTATGCAAAATAAGATGTTTGCAATAACTCCACACCCCACGTCCTAGGATCGTTGGAGCAATCTGGATATTGGGTGGCACAAGCTGAGCCAAGCTCTGCTGGCGGGGCCCCGGCGCTTGCATCAGAGAGGGGAAAGGAACAGAAGGCAGAGCGTGTCGTTTGGGGCGGGTATTTAAATATTAACTGGTGACAACAGCACTGGCAGTGCTTTGATCATCACGCATGAGGAGGATGCACTTTACAGCGGGCAGAGTCTCATTTAATCTGAATTACAAAGTCAACGCGCTTTTAATTACATCTTTAGCCAGATACTCAGAGGTTTTTGTCATATCAACTGTGGCCCAAGACTGTGGGTTATTTTTATACCAAGTTTTTACCAACACTGACAAATTTCCACATCTACCTGTCACTTCGCTGCCTTTGCTTTTATTACAATTCCGGAAGAATGAGCAGAGGGGAAAGGTTGTTTACTCTTTATTTTAAAACAGGTATCATCTCTTCTGTTGCATTTGCAATGCAAATACTTCCACATTCTGCTAGCAGATGACAGTCGGGATCCTAACATGGTCCATCTATCTACCCTGCTCAAACAGATAAACCCAGGAGCTAAGCCCACTCATATTAGGTGTCTGCCCAGTGTTGACATGGTATCACAAATAACTACATAAAGGCAGAAAATTCCATTAAGAATTATGGCAAAACTCTGTATAACCTAGTGTCAGTAGAAAGCTCAATAACTTGTCATTTCAGATTACTTATATTGCCTTAATCTGTGATAGCACCAGCATACCTACTTCAGAAATTTGGACCTTCCTCATTGCCTGCTGAGGAACACAAATGGGTGAGGCGAAATAGCTCAAAAATAACAGCAATGAAAAATACTCAGGTAAAAGTTTTTTTCTGTGGCTTTCCAAGGCACAGAGTGGCATGCTGAGGCTTAACCCCCTAATGCTGATGATGTCTATGGCAAAGTATTGGAAAATAAAACACAACCTGACCAACACAGATTTTGTGAAAGAGGACAGTAACGAAGGTCGCACACAAGCCTAGGAAACCAGTGACCTAATGTCAGCTTTGCAATTGTTTCCTGGGGGCATTACATCCCCTCCTCCTACCTCGCTGTTCCCTCTCTGTAATGGGCAGAGAAGGAGAGCAGAGCACTACATCACCCCCAGGTTACAGCACGGATACTATTAAAGGCTATGAGGTACACAGATCATGAAAATAAGAAGCAGATGAGTGATTGCTGAGTTAACCCTGTTCACAGGCTATTTGTAGAACCCCTAATCCTTAATCAACTTTGTTGTATTGAAACAGGAATGTGGGACACTGCCAAGAGTCTCCGTTGTAGAAGTTGCTAGGTGACTCTGTCAGTGGGACGTGGATGGCATCATGTCCTTGAGTGAAACTGTACCCCATGGAAGTCAATGCGCATTGGCCAATGACCATTTCTCCGTGCAGAAACCCATGCAAAGAATAATCTCCAGCAGAAATTTCTTTTTTTTCTACAGTGCTGTCTGGGGCTTTTGGCTAGAGAATATAATGACAACAGTCTCTGGCTAGAGAATACAATGACAAGAGTCTCTGCCTTCAGAAGGTCTTTCCATCTTTCTGGTGCTTTCTCATCACCAGTCCCTTCGGCTTTACCCAGTTTCCTTCATTGCTCAATAGCTGCAAGCCCACCAGCAGCCTGCTGAGCAGTGCGGTCAACACCTCTGCTACGATGTTTATTCTCTTCAGCCTCTCCCCAGGAATTATTCCAGCCAAGGACGTCAAACCACTATGCAAAATAGAATTTAAAAGCTTCCCTGTGTGAAGAAAATATCGTCATCCTTACCACTAACAAAGAGAAACGTGATGCACAGAGCCGCATTTTGAATAGAAGATACACATTTATATAAATATTCATACTTTGCCCCAAGGAACAAGAGGCTTTCAGGAGAGCCAGACAGAGGTCTCCATCTTTTGGTCACCAAACACATTTGAATCCAGCACAAAGGAACAGGAGCCTGCAGGCTTCTGAGTTTTGTCTTAAATCCCAAGGATCATTTCAGCCAACGTGGGCTGACCCCACTGCGGGTCGAGAAAGACGAACTACCTAAGGAACCACACTGAGCCCTGGCTCTGGTGCTTGCTTTAAATCATACGTCAGACAAGTACGGTCACGAAGCCCTCCTTTACAAAGTCTCTGATACAAGAGGATGTCTGATGAATGGCTTTGATCGGTTATTGATCACAACCATTATTCCCGGACTGAAGGAACACCAAAGAGCACGACACAGCCTCCCCCACGACCCTCTCTTGTAGCAGCACGTCTCTCAGCCCTCAAACAAAACTGCGCTGCTGCCTCCCTGCTCCTGCCCCCAGCATGGGCTTAGAGGATGAGGATCCTTAACAAAATAATAAAATTGAGCATTAATCTGTTTTTTGGAAAAAAAAAAAAAACTTAAAGACAAAGAGCAAATGTGCAGCCTGTACCACCCAGTAACATTAACTCTTTTCTCTCTTCCTTTGCCGCCAAGAGCCAGAAATAAATCCAGATCTGTATAGATCCATATAATCTAGATCACCTGGACGGGCTAAGAAGAAACTGTGTGCCAAATGAGGTGCCAAAGTCTAAGAGCTTGCAAACCATTAATACGAGTCTGGTGGTTAATTCCAAATCAAATTTCTACAGATGCTGGAGACATTCCAGCCAGGCTTCAAACCTGGCAGCTTGATCTCTACAATGGCCCAAACCCAAAACTCATATGCAACAAACACCAAATCCTTGGCTGACCTACAAGATTTGAACATCAAGAGTCCAGCGCGTCCCCAAAATCCAGACATTGGCTTAAACAGCTAGAGATTTACAAAAACAAACAAACAAAAAACTCCCACCACACCACCACAAAAACAAACCCCAAACAACAAAACAAAACCCCGAGATCTTCTAATTGTCTATCGTTTGAGCTTGCCCTTTCTCCATGCTGCACAGTTACACTAAATGCATTCTGAACACTTTGATGTCCAGCTCCAGCCCTGAAGTATTTATACTGGCATCAGTGGGTTCCTGATGGGTTTTCAAGGTGATGCACAAGTAAGCGTTGGCTGCACAGGCCCAAGTCAGTATAATTACAGGGAGCTCACTTAACTCTTGGGTCTGGATTCAGAATCATCTCAGTTAGTGATTGCTCACCAACCTATCCCCCATCCTATGGCTCTTTAGTCTTATAGAGCTACCTCATTGCAAGGAAAGGACAGGGTAGGAAATGTGTGAAGGAGGACAACGTACAGTGTGATGTATCGCCCCTTCTTCTCTTTTTCAGTTACATCCTCCCACGATGCTAAAACCAACACGTCTTCCCTTTTCACATCCAGGTGAAGACAACCAAGTCACTAACATCTTACCCTGATAAGACGCCCAGCACCAAGTTGAGCATGAAGAAAGAGCCAATGATGATGAGAGGGATGAAATAAAGCCAGTTCCAGGTATTTCCTGCAGCATCATTCGTCTGGAAACAAAGAAAAAGGGAGAGAGAAAATATTAATTCACCTCAGAAACAAAATACCATACAGAAACTGCAGGTCAGAGGGCAGGGGAGATTCTCAGATTTCCCTAGGGCTGTCCACCACTGACGTGCTGGTTAGTTCTGTTATGTTCACCAGTTAAAACACAAGCAAAAGAACTCATGAACCAAGCCGATTATCCCACCGTCCACACCAAGATTTGTCATCAGCTCCCCTGAGAAGATTCATCTAATTCCACAGCTCCAAGCTGACCTTGCTGCAGGGTCTAAACACACTTTTAAGTGACCTCCCTCTGTGCAGGCTTTCTACGCCAGCCTCCTCCCTCCCCACCCCAACTCTGACTTCCCACGTGCTGAGCATCAGTGTCGTATTTACATCTGAACTGAGACACACAACAACGGGAGGGAACCACAGCCTTCCGTTAATCTGTGCTGCAATTAAGGCAGAGGGTGGCACCGTGCCCAGAATCTGTGCATACACACAGAGCAGGAGAAGACAAGAAGTCTGCAAGAAAACGAGGCATCTTCAGAGTGATTGCAATTCCACACCTGCTTACTCAGCACTTTGAGCTTCTGTCATCTAAACGAGGCTCCCTGAGTAAGCAGCAGTCTAGATTAAGGGGAAGGAAGGGTGGTGGTTTCATTTATGACAAAGTTTCTGCATTCTTCAACCACAAGGGAGCTCTTTAAGGAACTGCTGAAAAGTAAAATGCCACATGGCCATTTACTGAAGCCAAGTACCGAGAAAAATGCAAATTCTTCTCTTGTGAGTGAAGAATGCAGCAATTTGAGAATCTGATGTCGGGTGTAAGGGAGGGGAAAAGGGAAGCAAAAAGAAAAGACAAGACCCAAAGACATTCTTCTCCTCCTCCCTCTTCCTGCAGAGGGTAAAGAATAACACGAGCACAGAGCTCACCTGCCTGCCCGACTGCAGAGGCTGGCAGAGACCACAGAGAAGCGCTCTCAAACACAAACTTGCCAAAAAATGCATTAATTGTCACTGATACTGGTGCCTTTTACTTATTACCTGTGGTGCTTTTTGGTCATTATTCCAAATCATATTTGCAAGCATAATTCACTTGCAGAAGGATTCACAGAAAGAGGTGCATTAAACATGCTTTATTTCAGCCATGCGTGCACTTGATGCCACCTCAAAATGTCTCTGCATAAGTAGAAGTCACCCAATAAACAAGCAAAACCAACACGTGATGTGAGGAATCGATGTCATAGCATTTCTTACAGGTAATAACATTTACAGCGCTGATGTAAGTAAATACCTTCTGCAACATTTTTAATGTGGTGCATATTTGCACAAATTCTTCCTCAAGGAACATACTCCGGATCAAACACATGACAAGCATTTCTCCAAATAGTAAACATTTTCAGAAATATCTGTGTCAGTTGATCAGCGATTCACCCAAGAGGAACAGGGACTAACCAACATCACCACAAACCATCCCTGCTAAAGGCAAAACCAGCATGTGACAGACAAATTAATCTGAAGAGAAAACAGGCTGGGACAATGAGAGCAGAAACACAGGGCAAACTCTGCGCAGCCCAATCTCTCGGTGCAGTTCTTTAATGCCTTTTGCAATACCCGTCATACCACCCCAGCAGCATCTCTTCTTCGTTCACCGTTTTGTCTTTCCACTCCTCTCTCTCTGCTTTTAGCTATTTCCTTCCCCTGTTCTGCTGCACCACATCTCTACAGATGGGTTCAGAGGAAACAAGGACCCTCGTCCTCAATGCATCTTCCCCAACGCATGGGGAAAGTGCCTGGTACAGCCCCAGCCTGCTCTCCTGGGATTACTGGAGCAAAAGCCATGTTTTTTATATTTAGAGGCTGTTCTTCAATTCTCATTTTGTCGACCAAGGTGGCAGCCCTCATGTCTCCAGCTGGAGCAAGCGCATCCCGTTCGGCAAGGCTGGGGACTGCCGGCAGCCAACCCACAAGGAAGAGCTGGAAGAAGGGAACAGATGGGAGCAGGGAAACCACATAAACATGCAAAGAGAGTGCAGCAGGTTCATTGCTGCCAAATGATCGTTTATCATTTCTTTATTCATTTGAAGCCCAAACTTGGCGACAGACCCACAATTCCATACCACGATCAAAGTCCTTAAAAATTAAATGTGCTGAAATACGACTAATTAACCACCCTCCTCTGAGCATGTGCTAGACTACCTTATGCTCAGGGCAGGGCAGGGACTCGCTGTGTTTGCTCTGCCTCGCCTACAGGGATCCAGGACAAACTAGAGGCTAAAACATCAGGCAAAAGGGTCAACAGAAAAGCTTTTCTGAGAAAGCAGAGCCTTCACAGATGTGCAGTATCTTTCCCAGCGCTCCCAAGTGTGCTTGAACCCAATCACAGTTTGTGGCACTGGCTCTGCCATGGTGAGATGCTTTAATGAATCAAACTTGTTTGCTGCCAGGAAAACCAAACTCTTCTCCTCCAGGGAAAGCCCCCAGAGTCCCCCAAGCAAAGCCCCCAGAGTCCCCCAGGCACCTCTGGCTGTGCCGAGCAGCTCCAGGGCTGCTCATTAAGCAAGATGAGCCAAGAGGTCAAATCAATTTTTATGTTCCAGCTAAAACATTTCACTGGTGTAACGCCTGGCTGACTGTCAGTGCTACTTGATCCTAACCCCAGGTCTAACCCGACAGGGAAGAAAGCAAAATGAAATACTTGTCACGATGTGCCAGAATTACATCCAAAGGTAGCAAGGGCTTAGGGGAGGGCTCCCTCGCTGCTCAGGAGCCAAGGAACCCACTGGTTGGTAACAACCGCGGGCCTCCTCACCAGCACCCCTGAAGAGTGCCCACATCACACCAAAGCCTTGCTCCAGGAGTGCCCCGGGCACTGGCATTGAAGAGCTCATGTCCCTTAAACCTGACAGCACAAGACTCTCACAGGCAAGGTGCTGCACAGTGGGGAAACTGAGGCACAGGAAGTCTAAGGGACACTTTCAGGGTTGCAGGGGAGACCGGAGATCTGTACCTCAGGCTTCTAAAGCTCATACAAACTGTCCAGCCCCTGGAGGGCCCTGCCCAACAAGCCCAGCTGCCACGGCTCCCACTGCCTAACCTCTGCTCAGCTCCAACCTGCTTCCACCCCCTGACCTGGCACTTATATCAAAATGCACCCACCACGCCTCTTCACAGTTGCTGCTTCCTTGTCCCTTCATCTTTTTTGTTGTTTTGTTTCTTTGCTTGTTTTGGGTTTTTTGCTAAAAGTCTAACTTAAATCCCTAACAGCATCCTTCTAGCCCCTTCCATGTGACTGTGCTTCATCATCTGCCCTGGAGCCTGATGCCACTGCTCAGCAGGAGTGTCCAGGTGACAGCTGGATGCCAAAGCACAACCTTTACGTGCTGACTCTCTGCACAGTTGGCTTTAAGCACCTAGGGGCTCTCTCCTCCCTTTCATACAGCACCAAGCACGTTACCAGCATCCCCAAGCAGCGACAGCACGGCCACCTCTTTATAGAGATACAGAGACAGGTGGGTGAATACTGTCACCTGTAACAAAAGCAGAAGCTAAAAGGCTTCTGTCACACAGGGAGATTGATGCCCTGAGCTCCCAATACAGCCAAAGAGAATGGAGCATACTCCAGCAAAGCACAAGATACTTCCCACAACCAAACCTTTCGTGACTTGTCCAGCACCAGAGAAAGGCCAGGATTAACACTCGCTTTTGTCTCTCAGACTCAGAGAGCTGTTAGGCTACTGCTTCGTTATGTTAACAAGATGGCAGCTGCATCTAATTATTAATTCATTTAGAGGTATGTTTTGAAACAATTGACTTGAAAGCAGCCTACTGCTGCTCGCAATGTGCTGCAGAGACCAGAGATGCTTTTGTACAACCTTTCATCTTCCTTTCTGCAGCCCTGGCCATGGCCCATGTTCCCGGGGCACATGGGGACACAGAGCCCTTGTGCCTGGCTGCCCTGAGATGAGTTTCTCATGTTGCTGGAGCTTCTTGCTGCTGCGAGACCAGAAGCAGCTCTGCTCCAGCCAGCCTCATCCCATCACCATGAAATGGTCAGCGAAGCCCTGCCTGCTCCAACATCCTTCTCCCAGCCCACCCCCATCGCCATCCCAGCAGCACAACGCCGGCTCTCCAGGGACCCTGCCTACTTTCAGCTCGGTGCTCCCCGCGGCGGGGGCATCGCTGGGGAGCCTCGCAGCCTTCCAGCCTCACGGCCGAATCCCACACGCCGCTGACTTCAAACGGGGCTGATCAAAGGGAGCAGGAGCTGGTTTGGTAGGGGAAGGAGCATGTAAATACTCCGCAGTGTTTCCTTGCCAGAGGCTTCTGTCAGCACAGGGGAGTTACTGGGAAAACTACGACAGCCCCTGCAGAAAAAAGACCCAGCAGCCCCCAAGGAAGGGAAGCCTGTGCAGTTTCTCCCAGGGTTGCTTGATCACGATGCGTATCAGTGATGAGATCCTGGTTCTGGAATCCCAAAATAACAGACACACATTTAAGTGAAATTTGGTTTACACACAGCCTCGTGAACAGGCAAGTGACTGCCTTTACTCAACAGGAGATTTACAGACTGCAAATTAGAGCAAGTCAAACATAGAAAAATCCCCAAAGTCCTGTCCCCCATCTTTTCTCTAAGCAGACAGCACAGTTGCCCACAACCTCCCACTCTCCTCCGGCTTCTGCAACACAACCTAAATCTGTATTCCACATGGTGAGAGGGACAGGGGATTCCCACATCCCTAGGCGTGTGAGCCACCGACCGGCAGCCAGCGAGCGAACTGGCGTACTAAGGGTATGCCCTGGGGGTGAATCGGAGACCCCATGGATCTGCAATCCAAAGCCGACCGCTTCTCCTCGGTGGTACAAACAGAAGACCTGCCAACACTCTGCCCTGCCCACAACCCCATTCAGCGCATACCAAGGACCACGCGAATTAGGGAATGATAACACGTGTATAAATAATTTATTTGAATAAGCTATTAAATGCTGCT